GTGAGCAGGGCTAGGGCAGGCTATCACTGGGTATGATTGGGGAGGCTGGCGATGGGTTGAAAATTCTGGCCTGGCTTTGCGGCTTGAGCGAGCCAAGCAGGCGTTCTCAACCCCTCATTTCATAGATGCGATTACATGTGCGGTCAACCCCCACGCTGACAAGCTCCAATTTCTCCATGAAACCTGCAGCCCCCCCCCCCCCCCCCATGCCTCGCCCACCACCCACCGTCATGCCCCGAGCCGCCGCGCTCCTCTCCAGATGGGCACCTTGCAGCACAGCTCACCGGCCTTTGGGGGTCACGCCATGCCCGGTCTCGCCGTCTCCCAAAGGCAGGTGTGAGACTTGGCGAATGAAAGGGAGCGCGTCCCCTCTGCTGCAGTCGAGTTCAAGGATTTCACTGTTCACCTTCTGGCACAGGCACAATGGACCAAGCCTCGTCTCACAAAGGTAGGAGCTGAGATGCTGAAATTTCGAAGGATTCTGCATCAGGCGAAATTTGGTCGGAGAAAACTTTTTTCATGTGCTGTCTGCTTCCCATGGCCCGCTGCATGGAACAAGAGATCCTCATCGAACCGTTCTGATGCTACCCCGTTGACTTGGCGGCTTGAATGCCGGGGCTCGGTCTACACAAGATAATGATGATTCATGACGCACAGCGCGGCCTGGGGGGGAATCCTTGGATCTTCTCGGAGCTGGGGACGCTGCTAGGAAGGAAGGGTGATCAAGACGTGAATGAATACGGGCTTGGGTTGCCAGTGCAATCTCGCTCTCCCTTTCCTTACTCCACGGACCACTTGCCACAGCCTAGATCACGCTCGACTTAATTCCTGACACCTGCAGTCATTGTAATACTTGACATGGATGCTCGTGCGGCCGGCGTAGATTAACAGTTGACCCGTTGCTGGGCGCCCAGGTTGAGACGTTGTCTTGATATTCGAGGATAACTTTCGGAATCAGTAGAGGTCACATGCAGCAAATCCGACAGAGTTTCCACCAGTTGGACGAGAGATACGAATACTTGACGCGAGGGACATGGCTCGCCCACCTAGACCCTCAAATATGCAGAAAGGAGAGATGATGACATTTGGCTGGTGGTGGGTGTTGCCGAGCGCCTCTCGACGAGGGGTTGTTGAGTGATCATGACAACAAGTGGACAGCATTGGCTCAGAGGTGGGTTTTGTTGTCTGTTGGTGGTCTCGGTTTTCCCAGTTGGTCAGTGCTGGCGGCCGGCAGGCCTTCTGCTTTTGGCACTGCCTGCACTGATCACTGCTCGGCCGGCCAATTGTGGAGAGTTGCTCCCGCCGTGCGGTAGGCCGGCGGGAGCAAGAACGGCGGAGAAGCTATGGCCACACGGGCGGGCGAGCTATCCCCCCCTCCGCTATCCCACAGCCGACAGCACATATATCCACCGCCATCCGCTGCCGATAGCGGATCTAGCGGCAGAGCTAGCCACGGAATGTGGGAAGTGCGATGATGTCAACCCAGAGTGTCTCTCGACACAATCCCAAAGGATGGGTAATTCTGTAAGCGGCTGATGTCGCTGTTGACGCAGGCTGTGGGCATGGGAAGCTGGAGGGTGCGGCGCTAGTGGCGACAGTGATAAGGTCTTTTTGATGGGGGAGGGGCGAATTGACGAGTGTTGACCAGCCCTTGGTGCCCTAGTGGTGGTTGTGAGCAGACTGGCAGAGTCGGCGAGCGATAAGGTGATGATAGCGTGCAGGTCGTTGGAGCAATCGATGGCGCAATCCCCACGACGCTCTATCTTATCAATCGCTCACTCCGCACGAGAGAGCACCTATGTACATACATGCACTAAGGCCCCCATGCCCTGTCGAGCTGATGGTAAGGCGGAGGTGTCGATCGTGTGCGAGTTATCAGCCTGCGGCACGGCTGAAGCGGCCCCAGCTTGGGGCTTTTGGAGGGCCAAGGGGTTTATCCCTCTCGTTGTCGTGGTTCCAAGTGTAATATGTTCACAGCGTCAAATATCGGCTATGAGATCATTGGCAGCGTGGCATGCAGCTTGTTCAGCCTGGGTATCCAAGCATAAGCCATTTTTCTCTTTAGACGACGCCGAAGTTGCTCGACGCGAAATCTATTACGCACGAGCTTGAACGTGCTGCTGTGTCTGTCTGGTTGGGGAGAGCGGGGCCTGGTTCGGCATCTGGTCCCGCTAGTCCCGCAATGTGTTCCCCGCTCAGGCATTCCCCCCAGACCTGCCCCCAGACCTGCCCCCAGGCCCCCTCCCCGAGGAGGAGGTGCGTTGGGTGCGTTGGTGCCCCGCAAGGGTGAGTTTGTGGGGTCTTAAACAGGCTTGGCGCAGGCGCCCTGTCCCGTCGCGGCCCTCCATTTCCATGTTCCGTGTGTCACCATTCACACTGATCACAGTGAAGCACTCGAAAACTCGACCAGCCCTGGGCCGCATCCTCGTGTCATTTTGGTTAGGCGTTATCGGTTGGCGCTGCTGTTATTACGCCGTGAAGTGCTTGCTGACTATTGAGGTCCAGCTTGCCTGCAGAAGGAATTCCTGCAGAATCGAGGCTCCGACTGCTCGGGACATTGCTGCTTGGGTGCTGCTTGGATCCTGGTAGCTGCCGTCTTCGGCATCAACGAACGAGGGCAAACGAGGCGAGACTGGGCCAACCACGGCTGCGACGAGCTGAACTGGGCCGGTCGGAATCTGCCGCGGGACTGGCCGGACATACTGTTGAGAACTGTTAGAGAAAGAGGCTGTTGTGCCGGACAGCCGTTTACCGCGACCATGCATGAGCCTCCGCCTCCGGGGTCGGACCCGGACAGGTTTGTTATGAGCATCCCCGAGGAGGTCCATTTCACGGTGAGACTAATGCTGTGGCAGGCCGGTGCACATCGTCTTTGTCGGCGCCGGCGCCGTCGGGTGTTTCTATGCCTCGAGGCTGCACTATGTAGGTTGACACCCCCGGGGCTCAGTGGCTTCGGCCTCGGAAAGATCGACGGGGTGGCCTAACTATCGCCACCCAGCCCACCCATAACATTCACACGTCCTTGATCGCCCGGTCCAACTACAAGGCCTTGGCCGCCGATGGCGTCAAACTTCAGACTCACACCTTTGGCAACTACACCTTCATCCCCGACGCTGTCTTCCCTTCAGTAGCCGCGGCCACGGCCGCCCCCATCTCTCCCAATGGCAGTACCCGGGACTGGGACTTTGTCATCGTCACCACCAAAGCCCTCCCTGACCAGTCTGACGACACAGCTTTGATCGCACCCCTCGTCGGCCCGCGCACCTGCATCGTCCTAATTCAGAACGGCGTCGGCGTCGAAGCCCCCTACCGCGCGCGCTTCCCCACCAACCCCACCGTCAGCGCCGTGACCGTCATCAGCGCCGAGCAAACCAGCCCCGGCACGGTGCGCCAGAACCGGTGGACGCGCATCCACCTGGGTCCCTACAGCGACTCGGCGAGCTTTTCCGCCTCCTCCCCGGTCCTCGTCGACAACGGGGGCGGTGAGGCTACTACCACTGCCGTAGGGGCCACGGTGGCGAACCCCACCCCTGCCATCTCCCCGGCGGCCGCCGCCGATCTCCAGGCCCGTGGGGCCGCCCGCGCCGCGGAGCTCGCCGATTGGTGGACGCGGCTCGGCGGCATCCGCGACGTTGCGCTGTCCGACGAGGTCGGCCTGCAGATGGTGCGCTGGCACAAGCTGTGCATCAACGCCGCGTTCAACCCATCGGCGGTGCTCTCGGGCGGCCGGGGCAACGCCGACATGGCGCGGGACCCGGAGCTGCGGGTGCACTTGCTGGGGGTAATGAGAGAGATTTGGGGGGCGGCGCCAGGGGTGCTGGGCCGGGCTTTTGATGAAAAGGAGATGGCAACGCCGGAGGGGATTTTGCGGAGCTCGGAGCGGAATGTCGGGAGCAAGCCGAGCATGCTACTTGACTGGGAGGCGGGAAGGGCCATGGAGATTGAGGTGATTCTTGGGAATCCGGTCAGGATCGCGCGTGCGAAGGGGGTTGAGTTGGGGAGGCTGCAGAGTTTGTATGCGTTGTTGAGGAGTGCGCAGGAGGTGCGGGAGAGGGAGAGGGCGAAGGGGGGAAAGGGGAAGTTGTAGTTGCAATGGTGTGGTAAAATCATTAGTTGTAGATAGGGATCCATGTAGATGTTCGAGGATCACTGTGCATGTGCATATACATCAACATGTAGGTGTAATTAGGAAAAGTCTACGTTAGCTATTTGCCTACTACTAAGTGTTTTGATGTCTCATTTTCTTTATAGAGACTAACTAAACAAAACTAAGCCTGCCCTGATCAGCCCCAAGTTCCATGTAGCTATCTTCCAGGTCCTCGAAGTTCTTGCGATCTCCATTGTATCAGCTCCCGAGGTTAACACGCTTAGTTATAGACGATCTGCTCCATTGTTAAAAAGCTCCTAGCTTGACAGCGCGAGTGGTCTCATAACCTGGCACATCATAAGTTTTACAGCAGCGAAACCGAGCGTCATAAGTTACAAGTAGCCCGTCATACCTTATATAGTCGGAATTTATCTTTCTCGATGTTTAGTTATATAATGACAAAATTAGTAAGGTACTCAAGGGGCTTAGGGCTTCCCAGAGCTCTCCTGTGGTGTTATTGTTGGGGCACAGAGCAAAATCTTGTCGCAGTGTTGCAGAGGGCTGTCTCTTGTTAAAATCTTTTTGTTTTATGATTGACGTCGAGGTTGGGACAACGACTCGAAAGCGTAGCACACCTTCAAGATAGTGAGTATACTACTACCCCGTTTCCGCTTGCAGACAAGAAATAATTAATAACTTGACGTATCCATGATCAACACCACTGGTTGTTTTGAATATTAAAGGAATTTAGCTAGCAGTCAGTGAGGATTGTAAATAGGTACATGGTATGCCGACACTTTTTAAACGCAAATTCAAAATGAAATGCCGAAGAAAGAAAGCATGTGAATGAAGAATAAGGGAGTGGAAGAGAAAACCGCCCAAATAAAAAAGTAGAACACATCAATGTGAATAACTCGGATACGGGGAATCGAACCCCGGGCCCCTGAGTGCTCACTCAATCTTGGAAGACTTTGAGAGCTGAGAGTCAGAAATGTTACCGTTACACCATACCCGATAAACAGATGCTAGTTGAGAACTGGGCCACTCCTTTTCGTCCAAAGGTGGATCAACGCACAATAAATAGTACATGTAGGAAAGGTACCTACCTTGGGTAGACAAATGAGTAGTGGGTCTGCCTGACATTAAAGCTCCTCGTTGTTTATAACCAGACATGGCAGGATAACCTGAGTGGATATGAATTACTGAGATGTGAAGCTATATCATGATAAGATGGATGGGTAATGCTGCATTAAAGACAAGTAATAAGACTGTGATTGGAATACTAGCTCGGGCATCCGAAGTAGTTTCTGTTATTTCCCAAGTTGTCAATGTGATGAAACTTCTCCTCAGTGCCGGGGAACTGTCACTGGACGTCAAGTCCTATTGCTTTGTTGAGCAAGGGTGGCTCGGATTAAAGTCTAGATCACATCAAGGTCCCTGCTGGTTGGGTTGAAACAAGCACAGGACCCTGCAGCGGAGCAGTTCCTCCAAACAACAACTAATTGGACCGCTAAGAGTTTAGTGGAGGTAATCGTCCCACAATGACGAAATTGATTTATCCTTCACTCCCACCAGCATTAATGACGTCATTTGTCGTCAGAAGGTATTAATGACAGAGTCCGCTCATGATAAACGTTTATCGAAAGGGAAAGTCGCATCGTGTTGAGGGCATGGTGAGAAGGCTCTATAACGAGGCCTCCTACACAGAACAGGACAGACTCTTACTTTCATCCGAGTGTGTTCAACCACCATGGCAAAGTCTGCAGTCGCGGACAACAGACCTATCACGCCAAGGGTGGTGTCCCGGCAGTCCTGTCCAGCTCTCTGTCCTTGTGTCCACCACAGCTGGACGGGATTATTTGGTGGGTTCCAACTTCTCCATGTTGAAGAAACCGAACTTTCCTGTGTTTGCCCTCCTCGAACAGGCAAATCGCACGACGATCCATTCCAGGGTCTTTGGATGAGGTGGGTACGGTGGGCGGCCCAGGCCAGGCCGTGCAACGTGGAGGGCCTGAAGGACGCTTGGCTGCCCCACAGAATGCACATGGCAATAGTGTATTTTGATGTCGGTTTCCCATCCAGCGAATGAATCGCGCTTACACGCCCCTTTTTGTGCGATTAGTTCTGTCACACACTGCGATGCAAATCTCCTTCAAAGAACTGAAGGAAGGCGGGGTGGAAGAACAGCAAAACGTGTGCCAATGCACCTCTAAACAGAACAGGAGGTCGAGGTTGGGGCATGGACCTGGAAGGAGGGATTGGTCGCTGCCCCTCGTCTTGCTGCCACTCTTGCCTTCGCTGTCAGCACAATCAATGTGCCCACCAAGCTTCCAGCCCGAGAGCCGCTTCCCCTACTTACCTGACCTTAGCCTGTGGAACTGCAGCGCATGGCTACTTGCTAGAGAGACACAGTGGGATCATTGGCTCTGTGATCTATCCATGCCCTTAGGTTACCTTACTTCTGCGCGGCGCATCGGCTTTTTTTCCTCGGGCCCCCTGTTTACAGTCACCCAGTCCCACGCCCCAGCGATCCCACAGCAATAGGGTAGGTAACCTTAACCTTCGTTGCCCACTAACTGGAACACGCACCAACTCCCGTACACCTTTTTGCGATTAACGGCGACGGATGTCAACTCCACATCGGCTTGCTTGCTTGCTAGAGCATATCGCATCCGCATATCATTTTGGCCTTCCATTACTGTCCATATTCTACTACCCTATCGCTATCGATATTCTTCCTCTTTTGTTTTTCGACTGTTGGCTGTCCTGGATAAAACAACTCTCCATTCCCTAACTTTCCTTCTCACCGCCCGCTACCGACGATCTGCACCAGCCCGGCCACTGATCATCGCCAAAACGGCCACTGTGGCTTGCGACTTGCCACTGCTCTCTTCAACACAGCCCTTCGACCATGTCTGTGTGATAAGAGCGATCTTCTAGGATATCGATTGCTGACCCTCTTCGACTTCCCTCACAGCTCACGATCCCCGCAGCTGTTGCTTCTCCCCGAGATCGAAACAGCACCCGCCACCTGCGAAACAGCCTGGAGTACAGCGAATCGAGCTGTGAAGTGCGCTGCGCTGCACTGGGAGCGGGAGGGCTTAGCGAGCCCATACAGGGTGTTCTAGGGCCAAGGGGGAATGATTGCGGCATCGAATCGGCAGGCTGCGGGTTTGCAAAACCGAATCAACAACGCCCCTCACAGGCCAAGGAGTTAAGCGGCGGAAGGCATGGAGTCGAGTCACGATGCACCACCAGCCGATGGTCAACCAGCCGATAGCCAGCCACCAGCTCATGTCCACGCCGGCCAGCCCGCGGTGACTGGCGGTAGGGAGGAATCTGCCCGTGACGTCTCATCGCTGTCCAACAATGTCACTGCAGCCAACCTCGGCAAATCCACCGTGAGCGTGACCCCGACTCGCTCACCTACCTGCATGTCGTCATGGAGTGCTTCTAGCCAGACAGACCCACTGGACCGTGTCTTTCCTATACGATCAATTATCAACGTTGAGCCCACGGGGCGGACCTCCTCTCGCGAATATGACCCTCGTCGGAGACTTTCCTTGTCCGAAGGTTCGGGGATCTCGCTACGGATGGGTGCTAACGCAAGGCCCCCGTCAACAACGGTTCCAAGACTGAACCTTGATGGTCTAGATCGCCGCGCTGCAACTTTCACAGCTGGCTCACCTGTGTCTGGCTCTCCTTCCGTTCTATATTCTCCGCCTTCCGAAAGAGCACGCAATCGTCGCATGAACACCATGTCAGGATCGCATTCCAGCATACAGGCCGATGCCGAGAGATACGGGACAGTGCCGCCAATGCCATTGACGCTGGAATCGTCATCCGAGGATGAATCGACGCCCACCGGAGAGGCCGAGAGCTCCTCAGGTCGCAAATCGCCCGAGCAAATCCCCGATTCTCTCTACACGCACCGCTTCAAACATGTGGTGACCGACGAGGGCCATGCTGTTATCACAGGCAGGGATGGAACGCTCCAGCGGTGTGAAGACGAGCCTATTCATACCCCAGGCGCCGTTCAAGCATTCGGGGTAATGTTGGCTATCCAAGAGGAACCCGACGGCCGCTTTCAGGTCCGCTACGTCAGCGAGAATTCCAAACGATTCACCGGCTACACCCCTCAGGAATTGTTCAGTGTGGGCGACTTCCTCGACATCCTCACGGAGGAGCAGGCCGAGAACCTTTTGGACCATATCGATTTCATAAGGGACGAGGATGCAGACCCAGCCGTTAATGGGCCCGAGGTCTTCAGTCTTTCAATTAAACACCCCAAGAAACAGCGATCCGTCAAGTTGTGGTGTGCCATCCACACTCACCCTGCACACCCAGAGATGATTATTTGCGAATTCGAAATGGATGATGACTATGATTATCCTCTAAGGCCGTCCGACGAAGACGCGCTTGATACACCCGAGGACACCTTGAGTTCGAATCCCACCATGGAGGAGCTCACCGAGAGCACCGAGATTATAAGCAAGCCCCTACGGGTTCTGCGCAGCGCACGGAAACGACGGGGCGAGGCGGGCGCCATGCAAGTATTTGACATCATGAGTCAGGTCCAAGAACAGCTGGCAAATGCGCCCAATCTGGAGAAGTTTCTCAAGATACTTGTTGGCATCGTCAAAGAGCTCACCGGTTTCCACCGTGTCATGATCTACCAGTTCGATTCCTCATTTAACGGGAAAGTGGTAACGGAGCTGGTCGACCCTGCGCAGACTAGGGATCTCTACAAGGGACTCCATTTCCCGGCTTCAGACATTCCGAAGCAAGCTCGTGACTTATACAAGCTGAACAGAGTGCGACTGCTTTACGACCGCGACCTCGAGTCGGCCAGGATTGTTTGCAGGTCAGTCGAGGATTTGGAGACCCCTTTGGACATGACGCACTCGTATCTGCGGGCCATGTCACCCATCCACCTCAAGTATCTGGCCAATATGGCTGTACGCTCGTCCATGTCGATCTCGATTAACGCTTTTGGCGATCTTTGGGGACTCATAGCATGCCATTCCTACGGGCCAAAGGGAATGCGCGTCTCTTTTCCAATCAGGAAGATGTGCCGACTTGTTGGTGACACCGCCTCGAGGAACATTGAGCGTCTTTCCTATGCATCACGCCTCCAGGCTCGGAAGCTTATCAATACTGTCCCGACAGACAAGAACCCTTCTGGCTACATCATAGCATCTTCGGACGATTTACTGAGGCTTTTCGACGCCGACTTCGGCATGCTCTCGATTCGGGAGGAAACAAAATTTCTGGGCAAGATAAACCAGTCCCAGGAGGCGCTGGCCTTGCTGGAATACCTCCGGCTTCGCAAGTTCACTTCTGTGGTCATGACGCAGGATTTCAATGTCGATTTTCCCGACCTTCGGTACCCACCAGGGTTTGGTGTCGTTGCTGGTCTACTGTACGTGCCTTTGAGCGTTGGCGGCAATGATTTCATTGTATTCTTTCGCAGGGGTCAGATACGTGAGGTCAAGTGGGCCGGCAATCCATACGAAAAGACCATCCAGGACGGAACGGCCGAGTATCTTGAACCTCGGAAAAGCTTCAAAGTCTGGCATGAAACTGTCGTGGGAAAGTGCCGCGAATGGTCTGAAGAACAGGTAGAGACCGCGGCTGTCTTGTGCCTGGTCTATGGTAAGTTCATCGAAGTCTGGCGACAAAAAGAGGCTGCGCTGCAAAATAGCCGTCTCACGCGCCTGCTCCTCGCAAATTCCGCACACGAGGTCCGGACTCCGCTGAATGCCATCATTAACTACCTGGAGATTGCGCTCGAAGGCTCTCTGGACCAGGAAACCAGGGATAACCTTGCAAGGTCGCATTCGGCTTCAAAGTCATTGATTTACGTTATCAACGATTTATTGGACCTAACGAAGACGGAGGAGGGCCAGGAGCTGATCAAAGACGAGATATTCGAATTGCCTGCCTGCATAAGAGAAGGTACAGAGCCGTTCAAGAGTGACGCAAGCCGCAAGGGTATCACCTACGAGTTTATCG